ATGTTATGTAAATTGTGTGTATTTGAGGGTACAAAAAAATAACCCCTAATATTTCCAAATATTGGTATTATCTAACCTGGAGTCTGATCTTTTGGATAGTATGTGCACAAACATTATACAAATAGCAAAACAAAGAAGAAAACCTACATGTTTGCCTGCAATTCACACACAAACCAAACACAAAAGCCCAGACTCAGCAGAGACTTTACAAGCGGGGCACTCTTTGAAACACCCCTGCACATTTGCAGAATAGATAGAATCCTTGTTAAATAATAAATGCAAATCTGACGTATGTTGTGAATATTGTTCAGCTGAGAGGTACGATTGCGTGCCACTGGCAGGACTGTGCCAAGTGTTCACTCGCTCGTTTTCATGTACGAAGAAACCATAAGCACACCTCATTCCAAAATGCGATGGAGGTTGAGGTTGCACCGAGGGAGGAGATATGAATTATTAAACCGCAATATTATGGCGAGGGTCCGATCCCAGCTGATGCTGATTCCCAGGACAAATGTAGGAATAACATGCAGATGTGTAGAGAACCCGAGGTCGCGTGCTACTAATAGGTTAAGGACGTTGCGTATTCAACTGTTTGTATTAGTGTTATTGTAAGACCATAAATATTTGCTGTGATCTGCTACTGGAAGTACAACTGACCCAATTTGGTGAAGTCTAAATATTGGCTGCTGCTGTCTTTAATTTCAATGGGGACACAAGGAAACATACACGACCAGGCATGGAACATGATCCGATAAACAAACACACACACAAACAAGCCCCGAGGAATTGGTCTCTGTCTAACTTGTTCTGTATTGTACATTTTTTTCTTTCCCTCCCCCTTTTTTTTATTTCTGTCTCAATTAGACAGTTTGGTGCCTCGGAGGAATAACCCTCATTTTAATTAGACCTGACCTGAAAATCACTTAACTGCTCCTCTCTGCTTACGCCTCCCCCTTCTCCCCAAGTCTGTGCTCTGTTCCTCACGAGTCCATTAACACCCTTCCCCTGGCACCCACAGGCTTCATCGGGGGGGCAGACACAGGCGCTGTCTTCAAGACATTTTGAGGACATGCCAAGAGACATTAACCCGCCCTGCATACCTCTCTCGGACTTTTTGTGTACCTTTGTCATCAAATCTTCTACGACTTTTACTTTGTACGATCATGAGATTTATACATTTTTCTGCTGACAATTTCTTACCGCACTCATCTCAAGACTAGCCTCTGTCCTTGTGTATGGACGAGATAGACTAACATTTGAGAATTTGATCCATTTGTTGTCATGTGAATAATGCAACTCATTTGTCCAATCTTCCAACACTCGTGGAGGTAGCAGGGTCTGGTCGTCCAGAACTGTTCTGGTAACTACTCAGCTAACCAGTGGTTCTGCTGACGAGATCAACAAACAAAACCAAATGTACCATACATTTGAAGGGTTGATGGTAAATGGACTCCATTGAGGGAAAACCCATCAATGCTAAGACAGAGTAAATGAACTATCCATCCCATCAATGCTAAGACAGAGTAAATGAACACAAGGTGATTCAACATGAAGTCACGGTCTGACTACTTCAACAAAAAACATTATTAGACAATGTAAAATTGTCAGAGACTGGAAAAATGATTGCAAAGCCAATACATGGGAGGAAACTTCTCAGACAGGTTGTCATGGTTTGTTAGTGCCGCAGACTCTTCTAGATAGCCTCTTTAAGACGAGACTAATTTGACACAAATCTCTGTCTTATACTGTATTTGACCCCATGACCTGCCTCCAGCTCCCCTGTACCCCAAAGGCACATTGTCTGTCAGTTTAAAGGGTCAGGCAAAGGTAAGGGGAATGTAATTTTGTACCATCGGCGTGCACCTTGTACTGAAAAAGCACCGACGGAAGCTGGAGTTGGTTTCATATTCAGAATACTACTGTGTTTCGATGACATATGTGCATGGGTGTGCTTTTTTTTTTTTTTTAAGTATGATTTCGTCAAAATCAATGTGTCGTTGAGTGTGGCAGCAAGAAGTGCTTGTCTAAGTGTCTCTGACTATGTGTTAATCTCATCTAAACACCTAGCTCTACCCCTACCTGCTCAGACAGGGCCACAGGTTAATTCTGGCCTCGGGCGTCATGGCTAATAACTGCTCATCAACCGCAGCTTGAACTTTCAGAAACGTCAACCGTTTTTTTTTTTTTTTTAATTTGGTTTATCACGGAGCCAGGTGAACTCAAATACTAAGATGCAGAGACTGAAGTATTGGTTGACATTATTTGAAAAAAAAAAGTATATTATACGTATATAGCTGGTGTAGGGAGATTCCATACAAAAATGTAATTATTACTTTCACACCGCCAATGACTCTGTCCTGTGATTTCTCTTTAACCCTTGCGTGTTTACCATGTACTGATATGTACATTTTATGTCTCTTCAACTTCATCTTAACTGTAAGATTAGGGCCTGGAATAAACAACAAATAATAGCAAGTGCCCTAAGTTTTAAATGCAGCATTTTGTTTCTCTTTAACATCTGGTGAAGCAGAAAACCCATGTCACATTCACACAGTAGATAAAAATGAAACTCTTCAGCCTTATAGACAAAACTATAGCTCAACAGGGGTTTATGGTTTGAGGTTGAGAGTGAACGTGAATCCTGTACTTGGTATCTGAACTCCTCCTGACCTTGGTGCCATTTCAAACTTTGAATAGTTACAGCCCAAACAAACATTGCAAAACAAAATATCTTTCACATTCCCCAAGTATGACTGGAATATGAGTCAAACAGCAATTAGAAACTTAGTTAGCACCTCTACTGAGCGTGCAATTAGGTTGACCCAGATGGTGAGGAGCACACACCGTCAATCACCTGTCACTCAAAAGAACCACAATAAAAAATTAATGTGCAAATAAGGGGTGTACAAAAGCAGCTGGATTTGCTGTGTTACACATAATGAAAGAGGAGTCAAAAGTTGACAGGAGTGCAGGAGGCTCTCACTGAGAAAATGCTCTATTGGTGCCCTCGGGCCGAGGAGACCTGTAGTTGGAGTAAATGAAGTGATTAGCAGGGATGGTGTAGGCTGTCACACGTCAGGCTCTGGGCTTAGAATCCAATCATCATCTCGCGTGTCAATCAAAGGCCCACCGAGGCAGTTGACCAACAGGTCAGACACAGTGTATGATGAGTCAGGGAGTCAGTGCATGACTGTTGGGCTATGATTGACACACACACACAGGTGTATGCCAAGGCCTCACCACTGACAGATGATGAAGATGAAGAGCTAACACGCTATCATACCTTTGTGACACTTCAGGTGATCCACAAATTAATGACAGCCCAACAATGAGCCGGAGAACGCTACACCACAACGTATCAGTGTTTTACAATGGCTTATACTTGTTTAGATGGATTTGATGCATGAGTGGTCATGTGATACGTTGTGTATGTTCCGTGAGAAATTCCCTACCATTTAGAGTGTCATGAGCCAAGCGCCTTCACTGACATCCCACACTAATTACTATATCACAAGTGCAGCAATTTAAGAATTCAGATGTTATTTTTAAGGCAACGCCAAGGCAGCGAACTTTCACGGTTTAACAAAAACACCGCAGTAAAACTCCTTCAACAAGGGAGACTGACAAAGCTCGGACCAACAATGTGCTGCTGGGATATATGACACGGTATCCAGGCCCCACAGAGCTACAAGGATGCGCTGGGCCTCGGCCCCCTGGCCTGTCCAATACAGAGGCCTAATTAAAAGACCATTGAGGATAACCACCTTGACTTTTATGGACCCTATAAATCTATACTGGAGTGGCCCATTTGGGGGGTCGGAGGAAGGAGGGGTGGAGGGCTAATGCAGTAGCATGAAAAGGTGGGAAGGATAGTTAAGGCTTGCATAAAATGAGAAGGGGCTGACCGCAGGATGTAGGAATGGGGGTGCTGGATTACTCCCGTTCACCTCCTGCCTGAGACAATAGGACTCACTGAGAGCCAACGAGCAGAGGGTATGATAAGGTAATGATGATGTAATGAGGGCCAATCATGAGCCTTAGCTAAGAGGAGGGCCCCTTAATTTGTCCCCAGAGTGGCAGTTCAGTGACAGATTGATTGCCCAGAGTGAGAGTGATGATGTGACACATTGCAAATTAGTTTGTTGGACAGGAAGAAGAAGGTGGTTGGTTGGTTGGTGAAAAAAATAAATAAATCAAAAATCATAAATATGCAAATAATGTTTTTTCTCTAGTAAACACAGTCATTCTCACAGTTATGGACACAATAAACGTACAGCTCCTTCAACCACAAAGAACATTCCAATTCTCTCCATATTATACCTCCACCTCATTGTTACTCTTTTGAGGATGGTGTTCTTTGGGTTCTCTTCCTCTCATTTTCTCAAAAGTATGCAACAACTGAGAGGTAGTTGCATACAATAGGATACCACAGTGTTTGTCTATTTAAGCATAGCTGCACAGTTTTTTATATATATTTTTAAATATAAATTAACATTTTTAGGGGGCATTTAGAGACCCCATCATTTTTAGTAGAACATTTCAATACTTTAAGGACCAACTGGCCCAACCTAATATGTGCAACACTGCAAACCAACACCAACCCAACTTACCTTCTCTATTTTTGTCAAAAGCCTCTGATATTAATGCACATATGGATTCATTTCACTCTATAACCTCTAGGAGAAACACTGGCCTGTGTGTGACAGCAACAGTGTGTAATCAATAGACCAACGGTGGATTTTCTCACCCAATGAAACAGCTCAGAGTCACCAAGGTGGACTGCTCGAACAGAATTCGGGTTTTAGTGGTGGATTTTTGTCAAATCAAACAAAAGCAAAGACATTTTAAATAAAGTAACTGTTGCACATTCGAGTTGAGTATATAATATACTGTATATAAATATAACCAAATAACAAAAGTGCTGGTGAAGAGCCTAGAAACACGGTGTATTTTGTTTGAGAAGAAAACACAGTGTTAACCGAGTGATGACGATAACATACCTCTATACTGAACTGTTTCCTCTTCAGCTTGAAGGCCAGGTCCTTGTGGTCAGGCAGCTGACTGGCCAGACAGTTCAAGTGAGGTACTTGACGCACATGTAACAGCCCTGTGACAAAGACAAAAGACCATGTAATCTGAAATCACTGTAGTGATATTTGTGAAGTGTTCTAATATGGATTATTGGGTTAACCAGAGATAACATGTCATTTAATTTTAGTATGAAATGAACTCATTCTTGCACTGAGTGAACCCAGTAAATATAATTCAATCATCGACACAAAGGAACAAACAGAGACAATAAAAGTAGAAACTTGTTTTGTAAAAGAACCAGGAGAAGAATCTGGATGTGTTTCACATTTAATTCTTCACTTTGATCAACTCAGGGCGTTCATGAAGCTGATGTAATACTGCAATAGTGAAGTGCTATGAACGAGTCAGTAGGAAAAAAAAAGGAGAGAGTGAGGGAGTAAAAGAGAAAGGGAGACAGATAGATATAAAATGGGGGATGGTGGGTTCTCTCCTCTGTGCACTTGGGTGATTTCCCCTTGCCTGATTTGCAGTGACAGGCTTCCCAGCATGCTTTGAGCAGCCCTGAACTGCTGCCGCAAACATGCGGACACGCACGCGCCTTCGCACGCGCTCTTACACAAGATGTGTTCTTTGCACTCATAAACACACATTAGAAAAGTCATACACAAAAATGTATTTCATGACCCAAACAGGCTGTCCCCAGATGACAAGTCCCTTGAACGCAGCATTAAGACAATGCAATGTTTCCTGTAAATCACAAAGATTTTTTTAAAATTATTTCTTTTAATTTATGAAAGACTATGTTGTGTTTGTTTACAAATCTCCCACTGCCTTATTGCGTATCACATTGGGACTTGGTGTCTAAATAAAACATGCTGTTGAATGTAACCCAAATGTGACATTAAATGCCTCAAATCCTTGTTCCTTCATCGGTCACAACCTGTACGATCTGGACTGTTCATGAAAGACAGGACGTCGGGAGAAGAGAGTTACACAGAGGAGTTAGTCGTCTTACTCCTGCCTTCTGAACCCAGTTTGACTGCTGTGGTCAGGTGGACGTGTAGATTGATGTTTGTCAGACGTCAAATCCTGTACAATTATTTCCTCCAGAACATTCTTCTTCTACAGCTTAATATTTATATCAGAAAAGTTAAGAAAACTGAAGACCATATCGGGAAAACATCACATCTGTGTGAGATCAAAACACTTTTCTTGTGGTAAAAACTTCATCCCCAATATAAAACAAAAAAAACAAACAAAAACTGTAGCGACATTGAACAGACACATGGACAGGTTAAAAACTGTAGCGACATTGAACAGACACGTGGACAGGTTATCTAAAAAAATCCAGTAATTTTTCTTGGTGAGAACAGTAAAAAGTTCTTTCCCTTCTCTACCCCAGACCAGTGTCCTCTTCACCTCCTCAAAGCCTGTCTCTCCATTTATTAGCGGTGCATGCTGGCCACGGAGACATTGAGCGAGGGACAGGGAGATGGAGGCAGATAGAGGAAGAGTGATGGTGAGAATATCGATTCCCCTCAGTGTTGGTGTGCTCTGCTCCAGAGCCTCGGGGGTATGGGACTGGGGATGGGAGATGGGGTGAGGTGGGAGAGCGGGGAGGGTGAGGTGAGAGATGGAGGGAGAAAGAGTGAGGCTGTCCTGGAGGGAGGCAGCGATGGATGGAGAGGGTGAGGGTACAGCGTGGCAGCTGAATCCCCCCCGGCCTGTCTACTGAGGAGCACGTCTGATTGAGCAGGAGCACACTAACGTGCAGTGACAGCCTGGCCTGCGAGGGGGCTGCCCTGCCTCTATCCACGGCCCAGCCCCAGCCTTAATGCACCGACACTGTGGATGAGTGTGTGTGTGTGTGATGGCAAAGACGCAGAGGAAGATGAGTAAGTGTGTGTGTGTGTATGTGTGTGTTTTTACCATGGTAATCTCTGTAGAGCGGGTTGGTCTCTCTTTCTGAGCCTTTGAATGACTCCAGTGCAATGGAATAGTCAGATAACCTGGTAATGTTTCCCATTAGAGCTCTGTCCTGCAGAATGGACACAGAGAGAAAGACATGAGCAGGTAATTAAAAGCCTCCCGACGGGCCGTCAGTGTTGCAATTAAATTAGGTCATCACTTCCTGTGGCCTGGACATTTCTGCCCCTGGCTTTAACAGGTGATGCTGATGAGGTGCGGAGGGCAAAGGGCACTGATGAGGTCACACGGCTGATGTCAGGGCAAACCAATGGACACACACTTTAAATCATCCATGTACAGTGGAGGAGTCACAGAGGAAGTTAGAACCTAATTATCACATCTGAGCACTTTCAAACCTCACACAACAGGATGGAGAGAGAGTGAGGAGGGTGAGGGAAGTCACTGAGGCATGATGATAAGAGCTCCCCCTACTGGTCAGGCCAATGAAGAAGCAAATCTGAAGGAGGACAGGATTTAAGTAGGAGGATAAAATTTCAAAGATTTGTCATCTCTAAAGTCTAGGATAAAGAAAAATCAAAAGTAATTTATCATACATATTATATATGAAAAAACACAATAAACCACATATTTTTTAAGTCTTTGACTTGGATTAGTAAGAAAATAGTCAGAATTGTGAAATTAATTTCAGAATCTATAAGTTTATTTTGTGTATATATGTTTTTATGTTTATAAAAATATATAAATTAAATCAGTTTGAGAAAACAAAAAGTCAGGAATTAAGAATTACATGGCCATAATCCAAAAACAGTAGACAGAAAAAATAAGAAACACGTAAGAAGGGATAGAAGTAGGGAGGAATACAGGGGTGAAAGTGGGA